CATTGGCATTAAATTTCCAGTAGCTGAAAAAGGACAAATTAAAGATAACTCTGCATACAATGGCTGAGAAAATGGTAAGCACCTGTTTCAGCAAAGGACAACAAGGTAGAGAAAGTACAAGATAAGCTTGATCTTAAACATACTGAATTTTGTATTATTACATACAAACCAAAGGCATTTGTTTTTAACCTGTGCGATTAGAGCCCAATTGAAATGATCAGGTTTGATGTTTGTTAGCACATTGTAGGCAGACAGGACATGACTAAATCCTGGCTTGTTTTACTTCTATGTATAGAACCTTTTAAAATCAATCTAATTTTCACCTTTAGCAAAGGGAGGAAACAAAATTGGAAGCCATTTTATTGAGTATATTTTTTTGCCAGACAATTCTGTAGGCATACCTTTCCTATCGTTTTATTCCTGAAAGTAGCTCTCCTGTGAGATAGGTACTATTGTCATTTCCATTCTACAGATCCTCAGTGAGGCTCGGAGAGACTAAAGGACCTAGGATCACATAACTAGAAAGTGATAGAGCCAGAATTTGAGTCAAGGACTGTCTCCAAAGCCAATGATTTTAACCAACTTATGCAACACTGCTTTCGTTGTGCCCCACTGAACAGGCTTACCTACTTATCTATGTAGATTTACTAAGTGCTATACAGTGTACACTGTGGTAAGTGTTCTACATGTATTATTTTATTTAATCATCTGACAAACCTATGAACTTGGTACTGCTAATATCTGCAATTTACAAATGAATCATTCGTGAGGGAATAATTTCCCAAAGTTACATGGCTAGAAAATAGCAGAATATTAGATTTTATGCCGAAATCTAATGGATTTCAAAGCCTCCGCTCTTTTGCATTCCTAAAAGTTATTTTGAGGACGAAATGACCTTTCATTGTCTTGACCTTAAGGCATAAAGCAGACAGTCTTTAGTTTATAGTCATAGTGTTAGCATTTACAGCAGCAGAAGAGCATCAAAGTGATGGCCAAAGGAGAACATACTAGGGAAAACCAAAAGAGAGATTTCCAGTTGAGGAGCAGCAGGAGAGAAAGGAGTCAGAGAAGCCTAACAATAACAAAAATACAGTAAGAATGAGGAATAAGGAAGAGGATCACAAAGATTTGAAGCATAAGTGGTAATACATGCCACAAAAAACTGGAAAAGGATAAAGTGAGTGAGCTCTTCCAGCAAACTCCTCAGTGAATATCACACCATCCACCCAGTTTCCCAATGCAGAAGGCTAAGAATTGTCCTTTTTAAACTTCCCTCAGTCCTCCATTCAGATAATTTTGATAGAGTTTTGGACATGTTGTTCCAAAATATGGCACCTTGGCGTTTGAGGAGACAGTGCAAGCAGGAAGGTCACTCTGACCTTTGGCTGCTGCTCTCCCCTGTAGCAAGCCATAAAGAGATTCTTTGATTTTCTTCTAAGGTCAATCATCAGACCTTTATTCTGGATAGGTCCTCTATGTACCTGTAGGGAAGGAATGTCACACAGAAACATAGCAAGGAATCTGTGCAAACAGTCATAAGCTGTAATAACCTAAGTAATAAACTTAGTAATGAATTAAGTCCCCCTCGCTTATTACCATCTAATGCATCATACCCTTCTGTCCTCCAATCATCATTTCATCGTTCTGCCTGACTGTCCATAAAAGTACATATTTATTTGAGTCTCCATTTCCTTTTGTAGGCTCCCTCCTATGTCTCATAAAACTTACTAATAAATTTCATAATTTTTTTAATTAATTAGTCTTATGTCATAGGGACCTCAGCTAAAATCTTCGCAGTGGTCACCTAAAATTTCTCAAAATATCTGCCCTCTGTTCTCTTTTCCTACTGCTGCTTTCACCTCGGGAAACATTGCGTCCTGCCTAGAATCCTCCAGCAACTTTTCATTTCTTTTTGTTTCTCAATTGTAGATGCCTTTACATCCATTCTCCATTGCACATCCAAAATGTTGTTCCCAAAATACAAATGCAGCCAGTTCAGTTTTCTGCTTAAAAACTCTCCATGGTTTCTCACAGACCTTAGAGTCATAACTCAATAAAATCCTCTTTCTAGCTTTCAGAGCCATCTCTCCTCATTAGTCATAATTATTATGATCTGTTTCAGTTTCTAATACCCACTGTGTACTCTGTGACTTACCACACACTATTCCTTCTGCAATACTCCTTCCTTCTCTCCTTCCTTCTCTCTTGTCTTCTGTGTCTCCCCCTGTACCTTTTCCTAGTAAGCTCACCTTTCAGGTCTCATCTTAAATTTTACTTACTTTGAGAAGCTTTTTGGGTCCCTTCGAGGTTAAGTCTCCTGCTTTGCATTTCTGCAGCCTCATGCCCCTGCCAAAGCCATCACTACCCTTTATTGTAATTGCTTGTTTAACTCTCTGTCTACACCTCCAGACAGTTAGCTGTTTTATGAGGATCTGTTTATCTACTCACATTGTTACCCTCAGAATCTAAACCAATGCTAAACCTATAGTAGATATTCAATAAAAACTTCTTGAGTAAGTCCTATAAATGAACCTATACTATGAAATTATCTATGTGTATTAACATTTATAAAAGGAAATTGTGGTGCATTTTATCTTGGTGAGGGTAGAAGGTGAAAAAATATATTAGCCTTTTTTATCTTGTCTCAGTTTTAAAATGAGTAACAGATGAATGAAGCCATCTTAAAAGGAGAACAATCTTGATTTAATAAGAAATTGTCATAATTAATGTATTACAGATCTTTTAAGGGAATAAAAATAAAGAGGAGATGCCCCATTTCAAAGGCTACCCTTACCTGTAGTTCAATAATTAGTAGCAATCAAATGGTATTAGTATGAATATGAATATGTGTCTATATAAGTAGGCATGACTGGAAACATAGATTCATGAATGTAATTTACTTTTCTTTTGCTGGAAATTTGCCTTTAAAATGTTGAACCTTCAAGGTATTGCTGTGCTCCATGAAATGACCCAAGTCAACCACATCAGTTCAGATGTGTTTTAAAAGCTTACCTTAACCTTAACAATAGTTAGATGGCAAACCAGTGTTCTCCTCAAAAAATCTTGAAGATTTAGATATATCTGATACGTAATTTTTATATATATGAAACCTTGAACATGCTTTTATGCAATGAAAATTATATTATGAAATAAATAAAAAATGGTCTTTTTGTTTTTTACAAATTATCCAGTTGGTTAGAAAACATAATACATTTCTTATTAAGCAAACAAAATAGAAAGTGTGTTAATTGTACCCAGTGGTCATGTGTTCAATATCATTTTCTATGTAATATTCCCCAAAAGATTAAAAATGAGTGGGGAAGGGGAAAATAACACCATAGCTGATTCAGTGGCTAGTGAGATAAGGAAAACAATGACTCTCAAGTGTGAATTTTATTCACTGTTTTAGACCTACAAAAATATTTTTATCTGTTTCTGAGAGTAGAGTAAAAGAAGTCAGTAACTCCTTCCTTTTTGTGTGAATTGTTTAGGAGTGTCATTGGTTTCTGGTTAATGTTAGCCCTGTCAGTGCATGCCAGTCAGGCTCTTCCCAGGAGCTTAGAGGGTGTCTAAACCTTGAGAAGGAAGCAGCTGTACTCTGTAGCACCCTGCTTGGAAAGCACCATGAAGGAGTCTAGGAAATGTGGAAACTTGCAGTCTTGTAAGATAAGTCAATCATCAAACACTTAAATTCAAGAGGTAACATGGTGATACAGTAAAGAAATACAAGTCTTAAGGTGGGTAGGATAGTAGCACAGACAATCTTTTAGACTGATACCTGTGAGTTGAAGAGAAGGAACCTACATGTTGGGGTTTACGTTTATCATTTTGTGTTTTACTTTATAAAATTATCTGTTTTTTTTTTCAAGTTAATCAAGGTCCTTTTGAGGTTCTGTTGTCTTTTCTTGATATTTGGCTTTAAAGTGCTATTCACATTACTACTGATCCTGTGAGAGAAGTAGAATTCTCATAGATCTATGCTTTAATCACTAAAGGCACATAGTCAGTAGTTGAGATTTAATGGGTTCAGAATGGTAGCATGCTACAAAAATACTCAAATATATAAATTGTGACTGTGCGTGTAACACTGAAGACTTGGCCAGCAGTCCTAACACTGGCAGTAATGGAGCAAACAAGGAATTCCACTTCTTCAAGTCACTAGGACATTGCGCTAGGAGAAGGAAAGCTATGGCATTCAGAATGAAGGAACTGGACTCCATGGTAAAGCCTCTGCACAGGAGCTGAAGACTCACACCCAGAGCATCCCGTGAGCATCCTCCCAGCATTGAGGCCACCTGTGTACACCCAAATAAGGTTTTCTTATTTTCAGTATCGGAATCATTTGAATATCATGCTTATATGTAAGGCAAGTCATAGGGGTTTTTGTTTCTTCACTTGCTTGTTTATAAATTTCAGGTTTCATTAGACAACTTTACAAGCTGTCTCATACTTTTTCAGGATTAGACCTTTTTAAGGCTTTCTACAACTTTGGAACTTCACTAGTTTTTAGTACCCGTAGAAACATCCTAATAATAATATCCTTAAGCATAATAACCATACATGTGACTTCTTTCTGTTTGCAGGCCTAAAAAAAGGCTTTGGATTTTTTGTCTGTGTCCCTGAGAAATTCTCTAAAGTTTTTAAAGAAATTTTTCCCCTTCTATGTAAAGATCAAAGGACACAGGAGACAGTTTGGCTGTATATATTCTCATATACTACCTAATAACTTGCCCTCCCTCTGAATCTGAAGCTAGTATCATTCCTACAATGTAGTGTAATCTTTAAGTTTTGTCATTATAAAGAAATTCTAGTGGATTCAGAATTCACTAAACATTTTTAAATGACTTTAAACACATACATAAACGTACTTTCCTGTTTCACACAGTCTTATTTTGCAGTCAGTCTCCTGCATGAATTTTTAGGACAAGGTAATACAAGTGAGTATTTTTGCTGTCTAATACTAAGTTTCCTGTTGCTTGTCTGTTTTCTCTGGTCCTCAGCTTTCTAAGAAGTATGGAGTCCATGTATGTGGAGAAGGTGGAGAATATGAGACACTCACTTTGGACTGCCCTCTATTTAAGAAGAAAATAGTTGTGTAAGATGTCATTTCAGTATTTTCTTTCTTTTTCTTAAATTTAAGTAATGGAAGCAACTTATTATTTTGCTCGAGGCAACTTTTGTTGGGAAAAATAGAATTTGTCCTCTAAGTTCTCAAACGCTCAATTTGTTTAATACCAGTGAAGCTGTCTGTATACTTAAATCAATACCTGACAGGAGGAGGCCTTCATAGAAAGCTATAAACTTTTTAGACATTGTACTTTCGTTTACTTGCTGATTATGGCCTGCAGTAAAACTGGTACCTACACACTGACACTTTTACCTTTCATGAAGTGTGAATTGCCTGTATGATTTATCTCTCATTACAGCTGTGTTTGATAAACTGCCACATCAGTAGTCTGCAGGTTCCATTAACTCCACCCTCTGTTTCTTTTTCTTGACTTGAGCAAGTTAGAATGGTAATCCTAAACATTTCTCTTCAGTTATTTGGGGTTGGTTTTACATACAAGCTTTGTTTTTAAATGAATTCAATTTATGACAAGTAGTATGATTTCTTTACAGTGAGTGTCGGGAAAGCAGACTTTCCTCAGTTGGTTACATTACTATCTATGCTCTAATCTATGCTCTCTTCTCATGTTAGAACAGCATTATATCTGCTTCTACACTCCATGCGTCCTGCAGAGTCTGTCAAAATTGTGTTTGACTGAATGCTGAATATTCTCAGACTTGAATTCTTCATGCATTGTTAACAACAAGAGGGAGTGATTTAAGAAAATTAAGACAACTTAGGTGGATAGTCTAAAAAGCACTTTAGTGAAATGTGGAAAGACATCATCACCATATACAGTATTCATGCACTCTTCTTTTCCTGTTCTTCTAACTTCTTTCCATTCATAATCAGCATAAAAATAGTTATTTGGAATGTTTTTATCAAGTACCTACTATATCCAGAGCTTACTAGTAGGCAGTAGTTGATGTTTACAGTTTGTAATTCATAAAAGTAGGGGATAACATGTCTGTGTACAATTATGATACAGAGTGGTAAAGGTTAAGAGGCCCCATCTCAGTAAAAAACTTAACTGGGCATGGTGGCACACAACTGTCATCCCAAAAAGGGTAGGAGCGCTGTCCTGGGCAAAAATCAGACCCAGTGTCCAGAATAATCAGAGCACAAACCACTGAGAGCATGGCCTTAGTGGTAGAGCACCTGCCTGCATAGCAAGCTTGAAGCCCTGAGTTCAAAACCCTATGATGGATCCTGTAATTTAGAATTTACTTTTTTAGACAAGTGTAACTACTGTTATATTTTATATACTCAAAACTGGTTTGTCACAGTTAGGCTACAACTGACCCCTTATTAAGATTACCATTTCAAATGTCTGATTCAAATGACCTTTGTTTTTCTTAAAAAAAAAAAAAAATTAAGTGACCACCTGTAAGAAGAGAAAAAATAAACTTTATGTGTAAAATTATTTGATTTTAATGAGGAATTTTTAAAACATAGGGAATTATTTTTGCATAGTGAAATAATTTAGAGAGATCAAGGTGGGTCTAGAAGTTTATTATGAAATACATTTGGCTTACATTAGAGTCCAGTTAACATTTTTTAAATCTTGTAAGAAAGACTGGTATAACATTCTCTGTCTAGAAGTAATTTTGAATTTTTCTACCTGTAACATTTTATAATTCACTTTTCATATCAGTTAATATGTAAAGTTACTTGCCTCTGAGATACGAATTTTAGATCAGAAGATGAGGCCTTTTTTCATGAAGAACTCTGATGAAAAGAACTTTAGCTTAGCTTTTCAAAGAGGGGATGATTACAGGACAATTGTAGGTTCTCAAATTAAAAACCTACTTTCTTGTTAGTTACTTTGTGTGTGATGTGTGTGTGTGTGTGTGTGTGTATTAGTACAGGAGATTTTGTTGTGACATTTCTGTATATGTGTACAATATACTGTGGTTTGATTTGTCCCTTCCATTTTTTTCCATTTTTGTTGGTCCCCCTCCCCTTTCTTAAAATGACTTTGACAGGTTTCAATGTTCCATATTTACACATGTATAGAAAATACATCAACCATATTCACCCTCCTTTACTTTCTTAATTTATGCTCCCTCTAGTACCCCACCCCATCATGACCTGCTTTATGTTTCTGTTCACTGGGGCTTGGCCTTCATATCACAATATGCCCTTTGGAATTGGTGAGTCAGGCAAGCCTGCTACCATCTCCCAGCACTGTGTGAAAGATAGCAAGTGCAGTAATTATTTGTCTTCATTGGAAACAGCAGAACAGCCCACTAACTAGAAAGCATTTTTGCTGTGATACAATTGGTCTTAATTTCCTGGGCTAATCTGAGAATATTCTGACAGGTTCTAGTTTTAGGACTCAGATACATCTATGAAGAAAATGGGGACCAAACATCCTAGGAAGTCAAGTTTCCTGTAATTTATAATAGAGAAGAGTGATAGGGGCATTGTTCTGTTTGAACTCACAACAGATCTAACCTCTACCAGTTGCTTCATATAAGTGACAGAAATGATGTTACTAAATTAGAGATTATGAATTTAATAGAATCCTAAAAATCACATTCTACTTCATTTAGTGCTCAGAATGTTGTATTATATCCCTGGATAATAATCTTGATTCCAGATGCAGCAATTGCATCAATTAAGAAAACTATGTGCTGTCATCCTTCAGTTTTTAGTAGGCATAACCAACACTAGAAGGGAGGGCCTGAAACCTTTTGTATTGAGATAGTATTAGCTCAGGTTAATTACAGTTTTGGTGCACTCCATTGTCAAGAATATCAAAAACAAGCTGCCAAGATGAGGTATAATTTAGGGGCAGTGTCAGTTTCCAAGGCTGAAGTCAGGAACAGAGAGATTGGAATTTAATCTGAGAGTGGCATCCTAAATAGGAACTGAGGTTTGACTTTTATTGCTCAGCCAAGACAAGACCAAAGCAGATAGCTCTGAGGAAATGGAGAAAGAAGAAATTTGGGGTAACAAACCTAGTGGGGGGTGCCAAGCCCAGGAGCAGGATGTAGCAAGCAGGAAGGCCTCCTTTTGTCTCCTCTTTCTCTTCCTCCCTATGACTCCTAGAAGCATCCTTTGTTTGAAGAGGCCCAGAAAGTAAGTTATATCTTTTTGTGAGTGTCATTTCTCTTTAATGATTACATTACTATTATAAGTTGCTTTTCTTTTAATGTCGAAAAGGCTTTTTTTTGTTATTTTTACCTGATCATTGACAAGATGCATATTTGTTATTAAAGGTTCATGGATAGGAATTGGATGTTTTTAATCATCAAACATACTTTTTTAATCTTTCTTGGCTCTCTAATTAGGAAGTAAATGTATTTGCTCATGAAAATGTAGTATTTTGGACTCAAGTATTTGGAGGTTTCTTCCCTTGCCCTTAAGTAACTTTACATCACAAAAGTTGATTCAAATATGCTTTTGCAGTAGAGGCAGAGTCAAGGTAAGGAGGTTTTTCAATATTCTGCAATGGTCAAAATGCTAAAATACTAGCATAAACAATCAAGCTACTTCATGAGATAGTGGAGAAATATGAGAAATTTCTATTTTAAAATTTTTAGTTGAAGTGTAAAGCATTATCGCTGTATAACAACGATAGTATATATATATATATATATATATATATATATACAAAGAAAAAACATATATAAGGTTTTTACACATATACATATGAAAAAACATATATATATATGTTATACAAAGATATATCTTTGTAGAACAACAAAGAATAATTAGTTATTAGAACTTCACACATAATATTAGTGCTTTCCAGGGAATCTTTGATAACATTTACATGTATCCATAATGGTGCCAGCAAGCCATTCATACCATTTTACCTGAGTGTGGTAATTACTGTGTCAGACAATCAGTTTTAATAGCAATGATACTACAGTGTGAAGAGTTCAACTCAGGCTTAAAACCTTCACCAGCATGGCTTTTGTGAAGGATAATTGAGATTTTGTATGAAACACTGGATGAATTCCCTCTTAAAAATGAAAAGAATAATGACGATAAAGCGCTAATGTTTAATGTTTAGCCCATATCAAGCAAATTTGTGAAAATGAACAAGAGTTTAGGTCTCAGAATTGTTGAGATCTTTGAATGAACTTGAAAGTTGAATTATCCTTTCAAAGATGAAAAGATGTATTTTTTTTAAAAGTTTGGTATTCTTGATCCTTTTTCCAATTAAATATTAGCCCATTAAAAATACATATTTGTCAGTGGAAATAAATGCACACTGAGGCTTTTTGGTGTGTTCTATCAGCAGCAGGAGTGATTTGCCATAATTTATCTGTTAGATAAATGCACTATAGATTGTTTGTGTTTCAGGGACTCCTCAGAAGTAGTCACCCACTCAGCTGATGCATTTGCACCTGTGGCTTATCTGCGTTTTCGAGAACTGCACTTGGAGGACAAGGCAAGTTGACCCTCAGGTTGCAATGATTTCAGTACAAGAGTGAGATGTGCACATCGGTTCTGCATATATGATTCTGTAACAGTAGATGGTAGGATAAAGAAAAGTGATTTTATCCTTAGTGATATTTTAGCTCCTCAGTCAAAAACTAAGAATTTTGGGTTTTGAGAGCTCTTTACGAAACAAAAGACATTACATTTCTGAAGGGTTTGCAGGTTAGTTGAAATTATATTAAACAGAGAGAAGACAACATAATCCCAAATATTAATCACCTAGCAAGATAAAATAATGTTAATGTGCATAATCCTTAGGGAGAAGGTTTGAAGATGATTTGGATCTTCATCACGCAAAGCTTAAGAGGAAAAAGGAGAAAGCTTTTCTGAACATATCCAGGGGTTCTGAGGAATTCAGTGAGGTATGAGAGAAGGATAGAGAGTGAATCAAAAGTCCACTGAAGAGACTCATCTTAAATACATTGATGGCGAAGAGAGCGAAATATGGATTTAAAGATTTCTGGATCAGTAGGTTTGATTGGCAGGTCTAATCCTTGAGGTGTTACTTTATAATTTGCCATAGAAATTATAGTGAGATTCTGTGAGGAAGTGAGAGTAGTGACAGGAAAAAAGGAATGAAATAGTCTTTTGTACCTTTGATGTTCTTTCCACAAGTTTTATGGCACACTCACAGTTGCATATATGTGATAGGGAATTTGAGGATTCTGCAAAAGGAGGAAAAGAATTGCAGAGAGTGTTTCCACAGTAGAAAATAGTCCAGAAAAATGATGATGAACAGGATTGAAAATAGGGCTTTGAATCAGACTGAAACGTAACTGTTGGTGGCCTTTTGTCAATACGCTGATAGCCCTCAAGAGAATGAGACTATATTATCCAAACGTCTTTCAGACTCAAGCAGAGGAGCTCCTTACTACTTTTGCTATTATGTTCACATGTGGAAACTCAAAAACACTGAATTCTTTTTTGGACACTCCTCCCATTATTAGCTCAGCCCTACCCAAATAGCCCACTATTCACCTTGTTATCTTGGTATTCCACTGGTCTTCACAGTCCATTTCACCTATTACAGAAAACTGTTTTGTCTTTACAGTGCAAACACGTTTTTTTTATCTTTTTTTCTTTTAGGTGACTCCAGTGCCTGACAACTACAAAACATCTAATTATATACATAATTCCTGAGAATCATGTAGCATTTTTAAATTATTATGGCTACCTTCTTCCCATTACTTTTTTTTTTTTAACTTCTTAGAAAAATACATCTTTTTCAAGAAGAAATTAATGGAACCATTGATTGCCTGGGAATATATCAATAGCTTATTCATTAATGTTGCCAGCTTCCACTGCGTGTGCATGTCACCTGTGATCTCTTTGTGACATGTGCCTCTTTTTTTCCTTTTATTAAATCTCAAAACTCCTTTTCTCTTTCATGTTTCCCACCCCATCCCTGTCCAATTACATCAGGATGAGAGGTTCCAAAGTGAAGATGAAACGATGATCGCTTCATTTACAGTGCAAACACGTTTTTTTTATCTTTTTTTCTTTTAGGTGACTCCAGTGCCTGACAACTACAAAACATCTAATTATATACATAATTCCTGAGAATCATGTAGCATTTTTAAATTATTATGGCTACCTTCTTCCCATTACTTTTTTTTTTTAACCATTGATTGCCTGGGAATATATCAATAGCTTATTCATTAATGTTGCCAGCTTCCACTGCGTGTGCATGTCACCTGTGATCTCTTTGTGACATGTGCCTCTTTTTTTCCTTTTATTTATCTCTAACTCCTTTTCTCTTTCATGTTCCCATCCCATCCCTTCCAATTACATCAGGATGAGAGGCTTCCAAAAGTGAAGATGAAAAGATGATCGCTTCAGCCAGTCAAGCTTTGGTGCTGCCAAAGTGATTAACCATTTTTGTTTTTAGAATATTCATGGTTCAAGTTTTGACATTTCCTGGACAATCAGGAACACTGTCATAACTCTTACTCTTTATTTTATAACTGATTTTGAAATGCAAAATATTACCCATGCTGACCTTATTTACAACTTCTTTTTAATAATAGACTTTACTTTTTAGAGTTGTTTTAGGTTCACAGCAAAACTGAGTAGGAAGTACAGAGTGCCATGTATTTTCCCTGCCTCTGAACAAGTGTAGCCTATTTGTCTCACTGTCAACATCTCACGCCTGAGTGGTGCATGTTTTACAGCTGATGAACCTGCTTCGACCATCCTTGTCACCACTAGTTGTAGTCTACAGTAAAGTTCATAACTGGCATTTTATATACCGTGGGATTTGACAAATGTCTAATAACATGTACCTTCAATTATTATACTACCATTCAGAACAGTTTTACTAGCTTAAAAACCCACTATGCTCCCCTGTTCAGCCTTCCCTCTCTTGGACCCTGGTAACCCTTGATCTTTTTGCTGACTCCACAGAGTTTTGCTTTTTCCAGAATGTCACGTAGTTGAAACCATACAATATGTAGCCTTTTTACATTAGCTTGTTTCACTTATTAATATGCATTAAAGTTCCTCCATATCTTGTTATGGTCTGATAGCTCACTTCTTCTTGGTGCAACATAATATTCCATTGTTTGCAGGTACCATGGTTTATTTTATCCATCACCTACTGAAGGGCATCTTGATTGCTTCTGTTTCTTGGCAATTATGAATAAAGCTGCTGTAAACATCCCTGTGCAGGTTTTTGTGTGAATATGAGGTTTCATTTCATTTGAGTAAATATAGAGGAGCATGATTACTAGATTGTAAGAGTGTGGTAAGTGGATGTTTAGTTTTGTAAGAAGCTGCCAAACTGGTCTATGTAGTAGCTGTACTGGTTTTCAATCCCACCAGTAATTTAGGAGAGTTCCTTTTCTTCCACATTCTCACCAGCACTGGATGTTGTCCAAGTTTTGGACTTTTGCTGTTGTAGTAGGCTGCAAGGTTATCTTGTATGAGTTTGCAATTCCCTCGTGATGTATGATGTTGCACATGTTTTCCTATTTTTATTTGCCAGTCTCTTTGATGAAATTTTTCTTTAGCTCTTTAGCCCATTTTCAATAGTGTTTATTTTCTTATCATTGAGTTAAGAATTCTTTGCATGTTTTGGATAACAGTTCTGTATCAGATATGCCTTTTGCAAATACTAGATCTTTAATTTGTCTTCTCATTGTCCTACTAGTGTCTTTCACACAGCAGAAGTTTTTAATTTTAACAAAGTCACCTTATTAATTATGGTTTCATGGATTATGCCTTTGGTGTTATATCCATTGATTTTCTCCTGTGTTATAGTCTAAGAGTTTTATCATTTTGCATTTTACATATAAGCCTAGGATCCATTTTGAGTTAAATTTTGTGAAAGATGTGCAGTCCTTCTATAGGACTTTTATAGATTCAGTCCTTTTTTATATAGACAGCCAGCTGTTCAGCAGCATTTGCTGAAAAGAATCTTTTCTCCATTGCATTGCCTTATTCTTTTGTATTTGTGTAGTCCAGTTTTGGGCTCTTTGTTCAGTTCGTCTATTTGTCTGTTCTTTTACCAGTACCACACTGTCCTAATTATAATAAGTCCTGAAGTCAGATAGTTTCAATTTTCTGACTTATTCTTCTTCAATATTGTATCAAATATTCTAGGTCTTTTGCTTCCCATTATAAACATCAGAATGATTTTGTTGTTATCCACAAAACACCTTGCTGGAATTTTTATTGGAATTGTGTTGATCTGTAGATGAAGTTGGGAAGTACTGACATCTTGATAATACTGAGTGTCATGAACATGAGAGGTTCTATTTATTTATTTCATTCTTAGAATTTTTCTTGGTTCATCAGTGTTTTGATTATAAGCATTTTATCTCCATTGTTATAACTTAACAGATAAAATGCAGCCTCAGGGCTCTTTTTCATTATTTACGAATTGAAATTCATTCCTCCTCCAAGTGTATTTTTCTCTGTTTAGTTATTTAGCACAATTGTTTCACCCCTAGTAACTAAGGTACAAAATATTTTGGCATCATTTTTTAAGCTACTTCACATTTACCATAACTTGCAATGAGTTATCTTATCCTTTATGTTGTCGTTCTAATATATCTCCTATTCCATTCCATCCCTGGGTCCATCCCTCCAGTTAAACTCATTCTTATGCTCTACATTTTCAGTTTCACTGCCATATTGATTTTCCTTTTTAGAGTTTGTTTCCCTGCACAAAATTCTACATTAATGCTACATTGTTTTCTAAGTTAATGAAATTCTGAGCCATCATTTGGAGGCCATATGGCATATTGCTTTAATATCTTTTTTCAGTCTTGATCTCAGAGCTGCCCTGAGAATTTGCTCTAGGAATAGGGAGCCATTGGATACTCCTTTATTATGCCTCCCCTTTTCTTCCCTTGCCTTTGCTTATTCTGTATTACCTGCTTTGCTGTCTTCTTTCCTTCCTTTAGCTTGTTTACATCCTGCCCATAATGCAAGATTGAACTCAAACATTGTCATACCTCTAGCCTTACAAATTGAACTGCTCTAACGCTGTCTCTTCCCTTTTTGTGACAAATAACTTTATGCACTTTCATTGTAGTTCTTTAAGGACTTATCATTTCTACTAGGTTGCATCTTTCTGAAGACTTTCCTTTTTAATCTTTATATCCTCTGAATCAGCTCTGAGTCAGTTCTAAAAGTATTAGCTAAAAGTTCAGAAAGAAATTTTAATTTAACTCATATTCAGTTTTACTTAATACAGAATCTTAGAGGCATATTTTTGTTTTAATTATATACCATTTTGTAAGTCATTTTCTTTTATCTTGTTGAGAGAAAAATGCTTTAAGCAAACTAGAATGTAAAATACACTTGGAAAGATTGTTATTATACATTTTAAGATATTTATTTACATTTTCACTTTATGGTGACCACCCTTAAAGTTTTTCTACTAAATAATTTACCTACTTAAATTTTACCTTCAAGTTAAAAATCTTAGATTATTTGTGTGAATATTAATGTGAACTAAACATGGAATCTCAAACAAAATAACTGAACAATAAAAAATTCTGTGCTTAAGATGGGGAAATATATTAAAATTTCTTTGGGACCCTGATTTTATTGCTTATGGCAAACTTGATGCAAAAATGTACCATGCATCACTGCAGTGACAAGCTTGAGAAAATGAAAAATACAAGGCTTTACATAAATCAACCAAAAGATCATACTCAAATGCATAACCTTTAACCGAAAATAAAGCTTTTTATTTGTAACTATTCAGAAACTCTTCCTTGCATAGTTGTTATAGATTTTCACACAATTTTATGAGAAATTCTATTTCAAGTTAATGAGTCCATTGTATTTATAAAGAAACAAAAGTCACAGAAATTTTGTCTTAATTTTATTAGTGTCCCCCACTTTCACCTAGTACTTAATTTTGCATTTTGTAGCAGTAATCTCCAAGTACTAGTAATCCTGTAATCATTTAACACTTAAGTTTGTTTTTATTAAAATAATCTCATGAGACAATTATATATATTTATAATTTTATATAATTATAAAACTTCAAATTCCTAGAATTTATTACTTTTGAAGACATCATCAATCCCTTAGCCCATTTTTTGGCCCTTCCATTTTACTTTTCATTGCTTCAGATATATCATCAAATATCATGAAAATATTGTAACATTAAACCATCTCTGTGCTTTACTTTTCAGTCTGACTTACATCTTTGAGTACCTACTCTGTTTAAAAAGCTATCTGGTCTACATGAAATTCATTATAAATAAGAAAATTACCAAATAATTCTATGCTTAATATTAAGTTCCAGGGATTGCTGATAATTATCCCCAGAGCTATGACTACCGGTTGCTAATCTCAGCTGAATTTATAGCCAGAATATGTTGTCTACTGAAGGTGAGCAGTGATGTTTATGGCCCTGTTTTTCTTAAAATAGTGGTAGAGGCAGAGAGGTTACATGTTTGTTTATGTTTGGATGAGGACAGTTAAAGGCAGGCCTCTTGAGTGTACTATACGTGGGTGTTCACCCTCACTACTTGTAGCAACATGTGTCATCTCAAAGATCCCATCATCAGTAATGCTGTCACTGTTTCCATGCTACCTCAAAAACATTTCCCATATACAGAAGACAAAGGAAGAAAGAAGATGAAAGATGACTATATTAACCAATCACCCCATTTCACCTTCTCGCAATGTATGACCTCAGGCTAAAAAGCAGAAAACTAATTTAGTAAGGTAGAGGAAGGTACTTAGCAGCCTTTAAAACTTAGCACCATAAACGTAAATGATACAACTTGGGACTTTGATGAGCCTTGGGCCATAGATAC